GGGTCTTGGGAACAACTTGTTTTACACTCTTAATACACAAAACATTTCATCATGTGAGGGTATTGGGGAACATATTATTATGCATTGAAATAATTCACTTAAAGAAAAACAGAATGTAATCACACTGCAGTTTTTGTTTTTGTTTGTTTTTTTACTGCTTGAAAGATTTTACTGGGATACATAGCTGAATAAGAACAAATAAAGTTGTTGGAGCAATTGGAGTTTGCTCCACTCACCAAATGTGTATATGTAAAATGATTGGAGCTTATTTATTCTAGTTTGCTCCAACCATCCAATATAGATGTGTGTGTATTTGAATGTATGTAAATTGCTTGGAGGCACTGAAGCTTTGCTCCATCCATTAAATGTGTGAATATGCGTATGTCAGTCTGTCTATCTGTATGTATGTGTGTATGTCTGTGTATATATCTGTCTGCCCACATGTATGTATGTATGCATGTATGTATACATGTCACATTGTTGGAATTTGTTGTAACTTGCTCATTGGAGCTTGTCTGGCTTCATTCATCGTGTGTGTGTGTGTGTGTGTGTGTGTGTGTGTGTGTGTGATTATTTTTTTCCTTTTCTTTCTTTTTATATTGATGGCTACAGTACTTCCAGCTCAGAAAATAAAGTTTTGTACCCTCAGAGAAAGTCTGCTGAGTGATCAAGCACTGACTCTACATATACCTCCTCAATCTACCTGACCTGTTAAAACTAGTCTTCGGCACTGTGGTACACATACTTATATAAGAGCATTTATTATTGGTTAATTATCCTCTCCTTGGAGGATATAAACTAATGTCGGTGCATGTCAGATATGGCACTGAGAGAGGCCAATGAGAAGTTTTCACCTAAGACTGCCTTGGTTGACCAATGTGTCCCCTGGGGTTAGTTACAGGAGAATGAATAATCCCGCAAAGGCAGATGCATTACTGAAAAGTCATCCAGCATAGTGACAAATCATGAAACCTTTGTCTCTGAAGCTCCTTGCCAATAAACCCCACCAGATATTCTCTCCTTGCCAGCAATCCTCTCTACTTTTACACCTTAGAGAGGGGCCTTTCGAATTTTGAAACTTTCTTCACTTGCTGAACGTAGTAATTTCTATGAGATTTCAGAGCATTGGAAGTTTTGTTTAGTTTCTTATATGAGCTCCTTCCTCCTCCCTCCAAAAGGAAATGTTCTAGCCCAAAGAAAATATTCACTCACAATTTACAGCTTCTTCTAGCTTCTACATTCTTTTCTGCTATCTCTTCCATGATGTTCCTTATTCCTGAGACTGTGATGTAAGATGCCAGATTAGTTTCTTCCACTAATCCTTGAATATCAGGCCAGTGTCACAGTCACTTATTTCTAAAAGCTTGAACAGTTGTGAGTATTTGCAGTAACCACCTTGCACTGAAAAACGTAATTGATCAAGGCTAAAGATAACAGGAGGCTGTAGGCACAAACAGAAATGTGTACAGGGGAGTTTGGCGAGTGCGTCATATCTATTTTTTAAATATATCAGTGTTCTTATCACTGAGACATAGGACTTTTCTTTCACAGAATTTTGTCCTGTCTTGAAGTATCCGAAGCAGGCTTCATGTCTATTCAAAAGCACTTTTTTTGAATCCATAATAATTTGACACTACTGTACCATTGACCTCTTTTCCTGACATGTTAGCAATGTAACATACAGGATCCATAACTGATCAGGATTGTGAATGAAAATCAATCCCCTAAAATGGGCAAAGGAACTAAGAAAGTCAGCTAGCAAATACCAGCCACTTCCATCACAGTTTGATTTCCTCATGCCCTGCAACCAAAGCTTGCAGTGCCCTCAACAAATTTGGCTTGCTCTATAGTTCTGACAAGAAGGAGCCAACAGCAGTGAGAATAGCCTTATGGTTTGAAAGGCTTCCCTAACCAAAAATTCATAGGGAAGTAGCTCACTCCACCACTGAGATTTTCATTCATCAACATTATGGCTCCTCCACATGTACCATTGTTAAAACTCCTCAACTATGTTTGTCCTTCTATAAGCTTCCAAATCAATGTGACTTTCAAAGCATAACATATAATGAAAATAAAATTTATAAATAATAAACATGATCCTTAAAAAATCATCATCTTCCATTATAAGCAAATTCCTATAAGTTTGGTGTTCAGTAGATAATGAAATAATAAGATAAAACAGCATGGTCCTGTACAGCATGAAAGATCCCATAACTTGAATGAAAAGAGCAATGTTGGAAGATATCAGTACCATATCTAGCACTTTCTAAATCACAGTCATTTTCCATGAACCCTTTAATGTCCTCATCCTGAGGTTTGGATATTGCTGTCAGACCACTGCACATCTCCATATCCCCAGTGGTCTTAGTGAGGCCAACTTGCACTCCTTAGGCCAGCTAAAGCTAAAGAGGAGTCAGGCTCCAATCTTGATTCTCTGTTAGCCTGAGAAGGTGCTTCTTCTCAGGATGCTGAATGTGCTCTGGGTTAGGTAAACATTTTTCACCACCAATAATTTTTTTTTTGCTTGGGAAATGTGCACGCAGCATACTCTTTGGGGGATTAACTGTTTAATCTTTGTAAGCTGTTTTTGTCCTGTGTGTCTTATGTGAACAGTTGCTGAGCTTTCTTCAGAAACTGAATGGCACACCATTTGGCTCTCTGGCAGTGTTTTCCTTAAAACATCTTGCTAATTGAGAAACTTTCCATATTTGCCTTCAAGAGACCCAGGTGAGCACTGTTGATATCTGTTTTGCCCCTTTCTTTTTCTCCACCAACTGCTTTATGAAACCAACTTAAGTGAAGGCCTAATTCATTCAGATTTTCTAGAACCTTTCCTATTTCATAAAGATCATGCCCAATTATGGAGTTCAGCAAATGTACTCAGACTCAATACCAGTCTCAAGGTCTCTTCTGCATCATCCATTTTATTAAAACTCCTCTGTTAACCAAACATCAAATGCTACATTGTGCATATTAAGTTACCTCGGTATACTAGTTATTCTTCTATTGTTTTCTAACTTCTTATATTCATGGCCTCAGAGAGAAATAACCAAATGTTCCTTGACTCTTATAACCAGTCTGTCAGGAAATTAGTTTCTTTTTATTGCTTCAGGTTATGGAACCTGTCTCAAGGAAGAAAGGGTAGATATATTACTCTGTTTCTCCACTTCCATAGCACTCAGAGTTCTTTCCATCCCTATGTCTCCCAATCTCAGAATTCAGGCTTTAAAATGTCCTTTTATTCTTTGCTTATTTTTTCCATAATTAAAGGAGTTCAGATACAGAGTACTTTCTGATTATCACAGTTTCCTGTCATTACTGAGGTCCCCATATGCATGATGCATCAAGGACTTCCCCTTTCTCTGTGTTAAAAGTTAGACCTGAGTGGTATTCTATCACTTCAACCTTTTCTCCTCATTGTTCAGTTCTTACCATGAGTTCCAAGTCCTTGGATTCCAGGAAAGATTGTTTATCACATTTCTAATTTGTGCAATCTTGCCATTGCATTATGATAGCTACAATAAGTGACACCCTTTTCATTCTTCTTTTTGCCACCTTCCTTGACAAATTTCAGACTAATGATTAAGCATCCTCATGTGTTTTTCCTGCTGTACTTTTTCTTTTACATAGCTAAGTTTTTTCAGGACAGCCATCTCTGCCTTAGCTGCATGTCTTAATGTCTATAGTAAAGATAATTAAACAATTGCCAGAGTCTGATTACATTCCCAAATCTTAAATACTTTCAATAACCACAATATACTCCATAGTTCACACCCATTAGGTGCTATCCTTATACTTATGAAGTTGTCTCCATTCAGTAATGAGACATGCCACCATGTTCTTCATAGAGAAAGATTGTATGGATTTCCTCTGAAAACACAATTTAGTTTTGGATGGGTCATTCTTGGTTTTACCCATCACAAAGCATATCCAATTGCCACTACAGCAAGGAAGCATGCCATCTCATTACACATGGGGAATTGTAGACATATACAGACTGTCTGAATGAACACTTCACCTCAGATAGATTAGTCCTTGTCTTCTATCTCAATATCCAAAGAACTCTCAACTCATCCTTGGCTTTATTTCATCGTCTCTCTTTGAGTACTAATTGTGTTATGTAATTTTTCTTGTGAAGACAAGAATAAATGTCTATCCCAGTTATTCTATGAAAGTCTAGCTTGTCAGACCAATAAATTTATTTGAGGGTATTTGTAGGAGGATAGATCCCATAAAGGTAGCTAAATCATCCTAAAATCCACCCTACTTTTACTGGCACCTCATGAAATCTACACCTATGCAGCTTTCTGTTCAAGGTATAAACAGCTCCATTAAAGAGAATCTTATTTCCCTGACAGTTGTTTACTCTTTCATATCCTAAAGCCTATTAAGTTTCATGAACTTTCTGAGTCATTTAAGTTTTATTTAACTTGCAGAGTCCTATGAGTCTCTCTCCTTCCTGCAAAAAAACATGTTTAAATTAATAGAAAATAGGTATACAGGATCTTATTTAATATAATACTTTATATTAAGAGGAGTAATGCTAAAATACAGTTTAACAGAATACTATTGCCATGTATTTGTGTGAAGAAATGCTTCACATACACTTTTGTTAGCTCCAAAGATGATAGTTCCTCGAATATAAGTGTGGATACTTGGGCCACAATAAGCTTTCATACCAAATGTATGTTCTGATCATGTTTTCATTTAGCCACTATCACAATGTCTTTAAAAAAATGAGTTTATAAAAAATGCTTTTATAAAAGGAGTGTAATATACATATATGGCAAAAGTTTTAACAATTATATAGGATAAATTTTCATATTTACTACTTAGTCAAATGAAATTATATTATAAAGTGAAATTTTATATGCTTTCATATATTCAAAACAAAATTATATTCAATGCATCTGTACTAGAATTATTGCTATATAAAACTTATGAAATTATGTTTGTTGCCATATACAACTTAGAAAAAAAATTTCCACTAAACAAAGGCTTCATAAATAACACTGAGAACATTTTTCACCTAATATTTTTTGTGCAGCATCTTTCACATCTTTATTTCTTAGACTATATATTAAAGGGTTCAACATGGGTATTATGAGTGTGTAGAATACAGCTACAATCTTGCTTTTCTCTAGTGAGGAGATTGATCCAGGCTGTACATACATGAATAGCACAGTTCCATAGAATAAACTCACCACTGCTATATGAGAGCCACAAGTGGAGAAGGTCTTACTCCTGCCATGGGGGGAGGAGATCTTCAGGACCGTGGCCAGGATATAGACATAGGAAACCAGAATAATGGTTGTGGTGGAGATGATGATGAGAGCAGAGAGAATAAACAGTACAATCTTGTTAACAAAGGTGTCAACACATGAGATATTGTTTAGAGCTGGGACATCACAGAAAAAGTGGTCTAGCCTGTTTTCTCCACAGAAACATAAGCTGAAGGTGAATCCTGTTTTTATCATTAAGTTTATGCATCCACAGATATAGGAGCCAGTTACCAACTGAATGCAGACCTTTTGGGACATCTGCACAGGGTAAAGGAGAGGGGAGCAAATGGCTGAGAATCAATCAAATGCCATAACAGCAAGAAGGAAGCCTTCAGTTGTAACAAACAAAGCAAAGAAGAAGAATTGGGCAGCACAGCCATTTTCATTTGTCAGGAAGTTGGCTAAGGTTTTGGGAGCAATGACTGTGGAATAGCAGAGATCTAAATAGGACAAGTTTCTAAGGAAGAAATACATAGGTGTTTGGAGTCTGGAGTCCATCTTAATGACAATTATCATGCTGACATTCCCTACCACAGCAACTATGTAGATCATCAAGAACATTAAGAATAAGAAGACTTGAAACTTTGGAGAGGCTCTGAATCCCAACAGGATGAATTCTGTTATCTCTGAGTAATTTTGCTTCAGTCCCCTCTCCATAGCTAACATGAAAATACAACTGTAAAAAGGGAAAATAAAATAAGTGAGGAGTCAGAATTCCATTTTAGTAAAAACAATTGCTGAATCAGCATGAAAGGAAACTTAGCCTGTTCCTTTTATTTTATAAAAGATAATGAACATAAACAATCTGTCCTTATTGCTAAAGTCTTCCCAATGAATAGCTTAATGCAGTGAGGGTCTTTCATTACACCTATGTGTAAAGGCAGATAAAGTATAATGATATAGGCAGATTGGTCCTCTAAGTCCTATGCAGAGGAATAGGAATTCCAGAAAAATGTCTGGAATCAAGAGTTTTGTTTTAGACAACCCCCCCCCTTGATTTTACCATCTGCTTACTGTCATTAAAATTTGTGATTAATCAATGGTTGATACATATAAGGTGATATAAATGCCAAAGTAAGTCATTGTTTTGTTTGTATTTCCTAAACACAATGAAATAAGACTCTCATTTTGGTCCTCACGTATCTCTCCTTCTTGCCTTCCTTCTGTTTCTTGTTTCTAGCATTCATTAATTAATTTCTTCTTTTCTATTGCATCCCTTCTTTCTTTTCTCAAACTTTTCTTTCTCCTTTCAATCTTTATCAATATAAAATTGCAAGTAGAGGAGAAAATTTGAACACAGGGGTCTATACTCCAACCAAGTATCATGCATGGAGAAAACCTAGAACCCCTGCACAGATGTAGCTCATGGCGGTTTAGTATCCAAGTGGGTTCCATAGTAATGGGAGAGGGACTGCCTCTGACATAAACTGATTGGCCTGCTCTTTGATCACCTCCCCCTGAGGGGGGAGCAGCCTTACCAGGCCACAGAAGATGACAATGCAGCCACTCCTGATGAGATTTGATAGGCTAAGATCAGAAGAAAGGAGAGGGGGACCTCCCCTATCAGTGGACTTGGGGAGGGGCATGCATGAAGAAGGGAGAGGGAAGGTGGGATTGGGAGGGGAGGAGGGAGGGCTTTATGGGGAGATACAAAGTGAATAAAGTGTAATTAATAAAAGTTAAAAAAATGCAAGTAGAGACTTCTTAAGTCTGACAGAGAAATTATCTTTGTAGAAAGAACTCTATGTGTGCAATGGTACATACATTTATAAAGTTAAAAGACAACACAAGTCAATTTAAATATAACTCCTATTTAAAAAGTAAAAATAACAATTTAGTTAAACTTCCAGTTATTTTAACTTAAACGTATACTATTAAGACTGTGCTTTATTCTTAAGTAAAATACAGTGTATATATAGAAAAAAGAAAAAATTTTCCAACTTTATGACTTATAAATTTAAAATGTTAAGAATATTTTTAAGAAACTCAGGGTCACTAGGGTAAGAAACATGCTCATCTACTACTCAATAATTAATCTCAGAATAGAAAAGAATACTTATAAACAACGGTTCAATCATCTACTATGACGTTGATTTTTAAATTGTATATTATATAAAGTTTACAACATGTTTATATTAAATAACTTTTGGAATAATTGAAATCATAAATTTATACTCACAAAATGTCTCATAATTGCTCTTGTTGATATTGAAAATTCACTATGAATTTTCATATGTTAATGCATTTTGAACCTTTGAAAGTATATTAGAGTAAGATTGGTATGTATGTAATAGTTGACCCTCTTTAATACAAAGGTTAATAATTATTTAACTGACTAATATTCATAAGTAGAGAAGTGATTAAAATGACCTGTAGCAAGGACTATTGACTAAAAAAGCAGTTTTCTTTGAATACATATTTTACATAAAGAAGTTCCTGATTTTATCAGAATTATCAAAACAAGGTTTAGAAATAAAAGCTGAAAGAAGTCAGTGTACATATTTAAAAAAATGAGATGTAAGTATCTTTACTTGTTATCTTGGTAAACACTGTACATAAATTTAATGCTTATGAGTACATTAAAAGATAAATAGAAACAAACCTTTCATTACCTGAAGTTATTCCACAACACTAATTGTAATTCCTTAATATCAAGTTCCTGATTCAGATTTTCTGGCATTATCAAAAATTATAGAAGATATCTTAAGGTCATGTTTGACAAACTCATATTTTCCTGTACTATTTCACTGACTCAAGCAGCAAGTAGTCCTGGAATGAATCCAGAAAGAAATTTCCCTGTGGAAATGAAAATTAGAGATGAGTAGGCATTGCCTTCATAAAATATTCCATGGAGATCAGAAGTCTCTATCATCCAATAACATACTTTGTGTCATGATGTAGAAAAATGAAAATAATGAAAAGAAATAGAATAAGGAAAGAAGGAAAAAAAGGAAAAATATTATTAATTAATGAACTTATTAAACCTTTGGAAAATTAAAAATGCTCTCTGGAAGACAGGATGAATTACTTTTTATACAGAAGAAACTAATAAAACAGGCACAGGGTGACATTTGGTTCCTTTCTTAAATGTGCTGTGTTAACCAAGATATAATCTTAATATAGAAAAGTTCAATAATGTTTGAGTAGATTATAGATTTTACATTTATAGACTCATTTCTTGTATGTTTGTGTTATATGTACATGTGTCTTCATATATGTGTAGTAATATATTCATGCATACACTTTCTTGTGCACATAGATATGGAAGCCAGAGGCTGACTTAGAGCATCTTCCTCAGTGACTTTCTAGTGACCTTAAGTTAGTTTGAGATGATTTATAACTGAATGTGAATATCACCATTGTAGCTAGACTAGATATCCATTGAACTTGGATTTGCCTACTTTTATGCCTGCCCTGTCCTCCAGAGCTGGAGTTCCAGATGCATACCACCACACATGGCTATTATAGGGGCTCTGTGGGACTGAACTCAGATCTTCATGTTTGCCCAACAGGCAATTTATCCACTGAGCCTCTCCCCAGCCAGGGACCTATTTCTTATCTCTATTGTAAATTACAATGTGCTGATATTAGTGAAGAGACAATTAATATTAAAAATATGTATTTTAATTAATTTATTTATTACAGTTTATTCACTTTGTATCCCAGCTGTAGCCCCCTAACTCATCTCATCCTAGTCACATCCAGCCTCCCTCTTCTCCCCCTATACCCTTTCCCTAGTTCCCTAATAGGGCAGGTCCTCCTCCCCTTCTATCTGACCCTAGCTTATCAGGTCTCATCAAGGCTGGCTGCATCATCATCTTCCTCTGTGGCTTGGCAAGGCTCCACCCCCAAGAGGGAGGTGATCAGAGAGTCAGCCACTGAGCTCAGGTCAGACACAGCCCCTGTACCCCTTACCAGGGAACACACTTGGAAACTGAGCAGACACACTAAATCTGTATGTATATATACATATATATATATATGTATATATATATATAAACAATGTATTTTTAAAACTGGCTAATGAGTTAATGAAATGGGCTACAAAAAGTATACATTGGGTCACTATCTTCAGGCACAAGAAGTGTTAATAGAAATTGTACCAGGCCACAGAGGAAGACAATTCAGCCATCCCTGATGAGAACTGATAGGCTAGGGTCAGATGGAAGAGAACTTGGAGAGGGGCATGGGAGATGAGAGAGGAAGGGTGGGGTTGGGAGGGAATGAGGGAAGGGGCTACATCTGGGATACAAAGTAAATAAACTGTAATTAATATTAAAATTAAAAGTAAAAAAAGAAAAAGAAGAAATTGAGTTTAAAAACTCTAGGCCCCTGGTTACAGGAAGGCGTGGCGGTCCCTGGGAAGACATGGGAGTGAAACTAGCTGAGACTCCTAGCAGCAGGTGATACTGAGACTGGCATCCTAGAGCCAGGCAGGCTTTCAGTGGAAGGAGGGGCACCAATCCACCCACAAAACACTACACCTAAAATTTGTCCTGCCTACAAGATGTGTGGAGATAAAAGATGGAACAGATTGAGAGAATAGCCAACAAATGACTGGACCAACTTGAGACCTACCCCATGGTAGAAGTCCAACTCCTGACACTGTTAATGATACTCTACTATCTTGCAGACAGGAGCCTAGTGTGACTGTCATCTGAGAGTCAGATAATGAAAACAGGTACAGAGTCCCACAGCCAAATATTAGAAGGAACTCAGGGAGTCTTGTGGAAGAGTCAGGGGAAGGCTTGAGGTAACTGGAGGGGGTCAAGGACACCACAAGAAGACCTACATAGCCAACTAACCTGGGCCCATAGGGTCTCATAGAGACTGAACCATCAACCAAAGAATATTCATTGACTGGTTCTAAGCCTTCTACACTTATGAAGCTGAAGGGTTGCTTGGTCATCAAGTGGGTCCCCTAACAATTGGATTGGAGGTTATCTCTAACTTGAACCCTGTTACCTTCCTCTGGATACTACTACCCTAGCAGATCTGCCTTGTCTTGCCTCAGTGAAAGAGGAGGCACTTAGTCCTGATGCAACTTGATATGCCAAGGTAGGTTGGTACCTGGGAGTACCAGGTGGGGAGAAGAGGGTATGGAGGAAGTGGTGAGAGGTTTGGACTGAGAAAAGAGAAGGGAATAGGGTGGCAATTGGAGTGTAAAATGAACAAATAAATAAATTAAAGAAGAAGAAAAAAAGACTCCAGATGAAAAAGTTTTCTGGTTGAATTTTTGGGATCACTCGTGTATACTGTCATAGCATCTGCAAATAGTGATACTTTGACTTCTTCCTTTCTGATTTGCATCCCCTTGATCTCCTTTAGTTTTCTTATTGCTCTAGCTAGGACTTCAAGTACTATGTTGAAGAGGTAGAGAGTGGGCAGCCTTGCCTTGTCCCTGATTTCAGTGGGATTAAGTTTCTCTCCATTTAGTTTAATGTTGGCTATAGGCTTGCTATATATTGTCTTTACTATGTTTAGACATGTGGCTTTTATCCCTGATCTCTCCAAGACTTTAAACATGAATGGGTGTTGGATTTTGTCAAATGCTTTTTCAGCATCTAAGGAGATGATAATGTGGTTTTTCTCCTTCAGTTTGTTTATAATGTGGATTACTCTGATGGTAAGGTATGTTTCTTGATGGTAGAATATTG